TCCCGATAACGAAGGCGTCATCCAAGGTCACACGACGAACGCCGAAAAAATGGCAACCTTGCTCTCCACTCCGCCTCGCCGAACCGAAAAAAAAAAAAGTGGATACGCCCCATCATCTCCCGCCCCCCCTCCGTCTCCTTCCCGTGCCACAACTCCTTGCCTTCATCGTCTACCTCACCTGCGGCACCAGCCAGCCCATCGATAGCTCCAGGAGCTCGAAGCCCACCGAGAGGACCCAGCACACACCCCAGTCTCGGAAGAGGCACATCTTGCACCACCTGCGCTTGTCGCAGGGTGAGGGGGGAAAACGCTTGGTATGTCGTTTCTGGGCATCTTCACATCCCACGACAAATAACAAGATGGGGTGAACCAATACCTTAATGGATTGTGCGGGGTCTAAGGCCGGAGTGACAACGTGCAAGTGCAGTCCCTTCCGGCTGCGTCAGGGCTGGGTGGGGAAGTGGTGGTCGCAATAATATCGGGGAGCCCGCATCGCCACGAAAAAGAAGCGGTCGCTCGCTCTCCCGCGTCGCAAAGTCGGGGGGCGTGGCCGGAGCACGTTGGCTGGCTCGTCGTCGTGCCACCGCTGCTGCTGCGCGTGCCAGTGCTGCTGATTTGCGTGCCAGTGCGACGTACATACCGGGCCATCGTGAGTCCTTCCGCACGCGAGTACCTGTGCCCGCGAAACGCACCGGAAACCAGACTTCCCCCACCCACACCGCCCGCGAGCTCGTGGTCGTGCCGTACTAGCCGCCCGCCATATTTCCATATTGGTGAGGTGGGGGGCGGGGGGTACGGTGCGTTTTCACCCTCGCGGGCAAGGTAATAAGCTTCGGAAGCAAGCAACGGGCCGTAGTCTGACATGCTACACCGTGCTCGTGGGAAGGGACTGGGTGGAGGAAGGGAGTGGTTGGGGACTCGCAACAATAGGCATATCGCAAAAATAGGCAGCGCTGACTGGTAAGGGCAGTATTTAGTCTACGGTACACGACACAAGATAACACACGCACGTAAAATACCACCCCCGACACAAAAAACCACACCCGGTGGCAACACTTTTACGGGTTAACATGAACTCCAAACCTACAATATCAAATCAAAAGTAAAAGCTGGACATTATACAACCACCTCCCCCCCACAACAACACACCCGGTGTACTTCAGAAGCCAAAGCGTCACCACCGAGGAGAGTTTTCTTGCGTCATATACATTACTTGCCACGGGACGAGGGGGGGGCGGAAATTCAAGGTGGTATACTAGAAACCGCGACTCACCAGCCCACGAGGTGCGCCAGGAACCAAACCTCCCGCAGCTGGCCAATGACGGCGCTCGCCGAGAGCTCGCACTCGAGGGAGCCGGCCTCAAAGCGGGACAACGTGTACCCTTTCACATCAGGGATAAAGATTGCCAGTAACCGCTGCGCTTCGTCCTTGCTGCATTTTTTTTAAACGAAGGGGGGAAAGCGGGGAGCGGCGGAGTACGACAGCACGAGATAAGAAAACACAAGCAGGACAGAGACGGGCAGAGAGGCCGTCGCGGACAGAAAGGTTGACGACAGAAAGGTTGACATTAACACTTCGCAGTCGTCCAAAATTTGAGCCCCGAAAAAACGGTGGCCCCTGAGGAAGCTGACACATTGAACAATGAGCTGTTGGTGGACATTTACTGGTGGCGATAACAGTTTCTTAAAACTGTGAAGAAGTTATACGGTGCAACCCACGTATTCTCATTCTGCTAGCAACCACGCCATCACAAACGTACAAGAACCTGAAAAAAAGCATCATCACGAAAAACATGTGTGTTTGGAGTGTGTTTGAGACGGCAAGGGGGTTCTTTGCTAATAAAATAACCGACAAACCAGGGCGAAAGGGAGCTGGCACCAATCCACGCTCCTTCTACAGCGACTCGCCTGCCAAAGCAGCACATACACACACCGACAGGGGCCGAACCCCGCCCAAAGAAGCACGAGGCTCGAAAAAGACTTACGGGTGGACGAGCAACACCGACACGGCGAAGAGATAGAGCATGCCGACCCCGTGGACGATCCGCCAGATGCCCGGGTGCGGCCGGACGAAGAGAGAGTCCCGGCACTGCAGGAAGCAGTGCACGAGGAAGAGAAAGCCGACGCCCATCGACGCCGCGCGCGTGTTCGCGTCCGGATCGGAGTCGTTCTGGGCGAAGCCCTTTGTGCGTGGGAGAAGAACCACCGAAATATAAGGGGGGGTAGAGGGGGGTTCACGACGGCAATGCTCAGACAAGGTAAAATGGAGGCAATCGTTACGCAAGTAAAAGACGACATCATTCTAGAAGAAGCCGGAAGGGAAAGCGGATACATGCTAGCCAGGCAACGGCGTCGTTGGATTATTGCCACTACCAAGCTCGTAGTCTACCCCGCTGGTCACCACCATTCTACCTGCACGTTGAAGTAGCATTCGTAGCTCCAGCATTAGTCTAAGTGCTGTGGTTATCCTCAGCATCGCGCGTATCGGAGTTCTCGCACAGGGTGGGCCGGTAAATAGCAGTATGATATGCAGTGCCAATGAACGCCGCTGTCATTCTATTCAGTATCGCACACTCGGCAGTTGTCGCACAGGGTGGGGGTGTACTCATAGTCGTGCATGCCGTAGTCGTTAGACCATTGACCCCTACAAAGCCGGGACGGAGCACGCCGGGTTCTCACCGGACCAGGCTCTCACATCACCAAGCGCGAAGCGCCGTGAGGTATTCGGCGAGTCGCATGAAGGGTGCGCTGCATCCTGCTAAGGGTGTTCGGCATCTTGTGCTTACTTGCTTGCGTACGGATGACAGCTGCGTATGACTTAATTTATTTTCTGGTGCTTTCACTTCCAGAGACAGTTGTAAACATTGTGAAACTGCCTCGAGGGTGCTTGACCATTTTAACACAACGTAGGCTGGTGCGTACCTTTATACTGATCAATATCATTGTCAACTATTTAGCGTCTGCAAAAGACTGTGTGTGCGTGGGTATGCCTGCACTGGGATCAGTACTATGGTACCGGTCGGGGACATGGCACCTACGTGCGTGCATACAACACCTGTGTGTATTTCGTCGGGGATGGCACCGGTCGGAGGGATCGCGCCGGGGTGCCCTGCAAAAACTAAACGAAATGATTTAATTGCATTTCCGCACCGAGGTCGGAGAGATGGCACCGGTCGGAGAGATGGCACCAGGGTGCGATAAAAAAAACGAGGAAAAAACGGTGCCATCTCTCCTACTATTAGGGTCGTTCTTATCGACCAATAAAACACGAAAAAAAAAACGAAACGGTGTTTGCTTGGACATGTATGGAGGCGTTTTTCCCCGAAAGCGTGAAAAGAAGGAGCCGGGTTTTTTTGGGGCTTGCTACTTTCACGAATCCGTGTTTTTGACAGAAGCATCGGACAAGCGCACCGCGGGCGCTGTAACATCACTGAGAACGCTAGAAAGACCTGCCAGACTCACGTCCAGGTCTGTTGTGGAGATGGACAAGCGGCAGAAGCGGCGTTCAGTCCGTTCTTGGCCCAAAACTAGGCATTGCGTGGTGCTCTCGTCTTCAACTGCTGCTGTTGGTGCGGGGGATTTTTTTCATCACACATAGCAAACACGGAAACAGTAGAACGAGTACAGCAGCAGCACCAAGACCTCCAACGCGCTGATTCCTTCGGTTCGGCTGTCCATATGATACCATCTCCCGGCGCCGTGCTGCTTCGTGGGTATTGGATGCTTGGTTGCTGCTCAGTAAAGTGTGTGAGAGACGTGTGCCACCTCACCAAAATGCCGTTGGAAAAAATGCGGCGAGATGATGCGTTTTTGGTCGGACGCATCAACATCAATCCACGGCACCACGAAGCAGTAGAGCAACAGGGCCTCCGACACGCTAATTCTTTCGGATTGGCCATCTATATGATGCTGGCCGTCAGCGCGGCTGCCGCCCTATGATTGTTGAGCTCGTCTACCTTTGGGCAGGTGGTGGTCAAAGATGGGAGTCGCAACCGTGAAAAATGAGCTGGCAAACTGAAGAAATCGCAAGCAACACCCAGGTGGCGACACTCTGCCCTGCGCCTGTTGTTGCTGAAAACTGAAAACAGCAGGCCAGGTGGACGGGATCTTTCTAAGTGTGTTGTCCTCTGTGTCGGGTGCTGCTCATTGCGCTTTCACCGCTGCTCTATGGTGAGCAATACCATGTCAACGTGTTGTGTGTCGAGCAAAACGTGTATTCAGGGAAGGAAACGTACCTTTCGCGATGACATCACGATTAGAACAAGCGAAAAATCATCGGATCTTCTTTTCACCGTTCCGTGAAAAAATGCGTTTTTTTTTCGTTGCGTTAAGGGCGCGGGGGGGATCGCAGTACCTCCTCTGAAAAATCCAGGAAACGCCTGCATATCTCGGTTTTCCAAAGTCTAACTGCAGTACGAAACTACCATCGTAAATTAACCGTCCGCAGCGGTCGCTTGTGGACAATGTTAGCAGCTGAGATTGTAGCCCTTTCGATACACTACAGACCAGCGGTCCGCGATTTTCCAAACGATCCTTCTATGATCGAGTTCGGTGAGCTACAAGCTAGATTTTTGAAGCTGCTGTGCGGTCCAATTTTGAAACGCTTCAAGCACCTTTGCCTAAAGGCTGGACATGCATATACATGACCCTAGGCATTCAAATCGACAATGGCGACCAGCTGGATATGTGAGGGAAGAGCTGCGCTGAAGTTCGCGGCCCCATACACTCACATAGGCGGTGATTCGTGTTCACCGTGTGCTTGAAGCGTTTCAAAATTGGACCGCACAGCAGCTTCAAAAATCTAGCTTGTAGCTCACCGAACTCGATGATAGAAGGATCGTTTGGAAAATCGCGGACCGCTAGTCTGTAGTGTATCGCAAGGGGTACAACCTCAGCTACTAACATTGTACACAAGCGACCGCTGCGGACGGTTAATTTACGATGGTAATGTCGTACTGGAGTTAGACTTTGGAAAACCGAGACATGCAGGCGTTTCCAGGCGTTTCCTGTTTTTTTGAAGAGGAAGTACAAGTACTGCGATCCCCAGTGCGGCCTTAACAATACCCGTTACGGTGCTAGATATAACACCCCTATGAATACATATGCCAGCACGAGGACAGTGCTGGCATTACGCCTGTACAGGGTCGGCGATCGTGTCTGTGTATGTAGATGCCTTTGACTGCTGCTCTCTATTTAGCGCACTAAGAGGGAAAGTTCAAGCTTGTTTGTGTACTTGAAACATGTCTACAACCCTCGTGGGCGATTTGGCTCGCCCAAGCTGCTAAAGAGACTAGGCTATGTTGTATGAGCTGTGTACCTTCATTCTCTCGAGAAAAAATTAGCGGTTCCAAAACTGCCTTTAGATCTGGTGCTTGTGAACAGCTGTGTCCCCGCTTCTGTTCAACCGCTGACGCCTACAGCGCCTTCTACAGCTGCAGCAGTACCGTTCTGCATACCTTGCTTTTTCGCGAAGTTCGGCCGCTCGTAACGTTTCCAAAGTGAGAACTCTGTATTATAGAAGTAGCATACAACGTGTGTGTGCATGCATATAGTATTAGTCGTCTCGACTGCCAACACACAGCGTCCAACCACGCAGCACCTCTCTCAAAAGTAATGGGGGTTGGTCCTACACTATCCGATGGCATGAAGCTCAGCCAAGGTTGATAGGTGCACACACCGGACCAGACGAACACACGCTCCTTAGAGCGTCAGCAGCCACCCTGTTTGATTTGAAAAAAATACTCCCGACGTAGACAGGTATTGAGTTCTCCCACAAGCAAGAACACACATACTCACCCCTCTCTACTCACCAAGTAGCTCGCTCCAGCGATGGTTACCACAAGGACAACGATCTGTCTGGGCTTCTCCACGCTCTCAATGTTCGAACGAAAGCGGTTTGATGCATCGTACCCATCGCAGTCTCCCGTACCGAATGAGGCCGCCGACGTCAATCCGCCGGCGGTTAGCTGTTGAACGCGTTCCTCTTCCTCTGCGTCCGTAGGATGTGGAAGTTCCTGGGTGCCGCCGCTTGAGCCATCAGCGGCCCTTAGTTTTCGGGTTGTCTCCATCCGCGGGTGTGGTCTAGGAGCAGCGGAGAGAAGTAACAGGAGGCTGCAGGTGTGCAGGCGCCCCTGTAGCGTGGTAGTGGTCCAATCGCTGTTTTTTTTTTTTCAATTGGTTCCGCGGCAGAACCTGTGCCGATTCCGGCAGATGTCGGGCAAACAGCAGGAGATAGGCTAAGGCGACACTCTAAATCCCAGCAGTGCTATGCGTATGTGATGCGTACACACCGCCTAGTTTCATGTCCCTGCCTCGCAGACACCCCCTGGCAACTTGGCATGTGTTGGCTTCCAGCTGCAACGGCCTACTAGTGCCTTCTTGCAACATCGTGTGTGCCATATTGTCACCTCTAGTCGGCTGAATCCGCCAGATAAACCTACACGATCTCCCACAACACCCAGATGCCCGTGAACGCAACGGAGACAAGACCGGGTCGGGGGGGAGGCGGCCTGGCTTCCAAGCTCTTCAACAAGTTCGACAGCGACCGCAAGTATGATCCCTTCCTGGACACGGATCCCGTCATACAGGACAGCAAAGAGGGCATGGAGGCGCTGCTCTCGATGTGCAACGCGGTCGAGATCAACAGCCTCTTCGGGGCCCTGGGGTTTGTCGTGCCATGCCCGAGAAATGCAAAGGAACAGCAGGTGTGAAAGTGCCAATTGGATATCTACCTCGCGCACTCACACACTTTTCGCTGTCGGTCGACTTGTGAAGAGGTGTGCCGAAAGATTTCGTTTGCCTTGTGCGGGGTACATTTTTCAAAGCGGCCGACCACGAATCGAGATGTGTTCATGTATGTTCGATTCGGCGTGTTTCCCGGTGCGCTTGCGCACGATACAGCTCGATCCGCTACTCAGGTGGACTTCATTGCTCGCAGAACCGTGGAGAGGCCTGTTTTCCCAGGCTTGCAGCAACGTTGAGTGGATTTCTATCACCTCGTCCCTTGTTGATGTTGCAGATGCCATAAAGTTGGTGTGGTCTCGGCTGCTTTCCCTCTCCTTTACGTTGAAGCCGAGAGTATCCGCAAACGACTGATTCTGCTGTACCATCGTGTGATAGATCATGAACTACATCCGAGAAGGCGGACGACACGTGGGGAAAAGATTTGCGGACGTGCTGAAGTTCTGTTGGGAGGGTCTGCTATTCGAGTACCTCCGAACGGTTGGGTGTCCACTGCGGGACCGAGAGCACGACCCCCGGCATTTCGTGATGCGGTACTGGCGGAGAAGTATGCTGGACCCAAGTGTCCGGCCAGGCTTCGTTCCTTTCTACGCCAAAAGAGAGGTATGATGCAAGTTTTGTGTGGAACAACGCCGTGCCCTGTGACGTGACAATCGTTTGGCACGCGGCTGGGGGCTATCTGTCAAAGAGGACGCCGTCGGTGGGTTTCGTGCTCTTCTGCGATGCCAAACGGAGATGCTCAACAGCTCGTTGATGACACATTGTTAAAAGTTGTGGATTGAAGGGTAAGGCGGACATGGCAAGGTTGCTTGTGGATTAGAAAGAGTTGGTAATGTGTGTAGTTGACACGTGTACACTAACACATCACCTAGATTTTGCTCCTCGAGGTGTGCCTTGGTTCCCGTTATTGACGAACTATGCGTATTACACTTGACTACCCCTACCAATGGGCTTGGTACCCCACGGATTGTAACTCACTTCCGTGCGCAGGTTAAGAAGCGCAACAGCCTCATGCAGGAGGAGAGAGACATCCGAAACATCCGGGCGGGGTTGGCACTCCGAGAGGATGTCGTTAAAGACGCCGAGAACAAGACAAGGGAGCAGCACGACTATCGGTTTGTCCTTCAGTATTTTAGTGCCTCGAGAGACCTGCACCGCACCCTCGTTGCCAACGTGAATTACCTCGCCAACGAAGTGGAACAGCTGCGGGCGAATATGGACCACAGCAGCGAGAGCATCTCCATTATGGAGCAGCAGTTCGTCGAACTGGAGGTAGGTGCGTCTATGACAACCGGAATTCGGACTCTTCTGACACGCACGCATGTTTCGCCACCCTGTGTGCCCCGACCTGCGCAGTTGATGCCTCTGCAATTACAAGGAGCGAAAAGCGTGTGGTTGATCTATCGGATAAACCCCCCACGCTCGACGGAATGAGCTACTGAAAACAATCGCTACTCTGCCCGTTCTCGCACACCACCGACCGAAAGCAGACAAAGTACGATCAGGTGGTCGGAGGCTTGGTCCACCGCGGGGCTTTTCAGCTGACGCTCGAAGGCACTCTATACGGTATGATCAAGGAGGGCCACGTGGCCCTCAAAAGTGCAGCGGTAATGGCGAGAGAGGTTCTAGACGGCATGGACACCGGCCCCGAGAGGTTCGATGGCGTCGACCCTGAGGTTGTCAATGGCTGTAGCGCCAACGAGTCCAATGGCGATGGTTACAGCCCGTGTCCAACGCAAAGAGGCTTTGGAAGTGCCGCTGGTGGTTCCGATCTTGGCCTGGCTGCGGCTAACCAGACGGAAGGGCGGAAGCGGCTCGAAGAAAGCAAAGCGGGAGCATCGGGTGCGGAGGTAGACCCTGAAGAGAACGGGAAACAAACATGGGCAGCACCTCGACCCCAAGGCGGCGGGTCTACACGTATCGATAGCAGGAGAACCGGGGGCAACAACTCACAGGAAAGGAGACAGACGGTGTTGACAGAAATGAAACTGGGAGAAGGTGAGGAGGAGGGAGTGTCCCAGACAAGAACCGACAAAGGAGCGACTTGGGGCCATGGTCATGATGATGGCAGCGGTCGGAGACGAAACCTTCTGAATGTGCTAGGGCCCTGCTTAGGCAAGACACTTGAGACGCATCGGAGAGCTTGCACGAGATACAGTAACCAAGTGGCCGATCTAGAGGGGCAGAACGCCGCGCTAACTGCTAGGGCCGCCGCGGCCTGTAAGCTAGCAGAAGAAGCGACGACAGAGGCAAAGTTGTTGGAAGCGAAGCACTGTGCGCTGGAACAGCGACTGGCTGAAGTGGAGGAGCGCTCGAGGCAAGATCTTGCCTGCGCCGAGGAACGCGCCGACAAAGCATGCTTAAGAACCCTGGAGGTGGTCGAATTGCAGACGGAGAAGCTCGAGAGGGCGACGCCGACTCTTCTGGACATGCTAACTAGATTTGCGCCTCGGGAGACCGAGGAGCTCGGGGCGTACCTGCTCCATAGCCTCGATATCGAGCCAGACCTTTACGCCCACATCGTCGCCACGAAGAGGATGTTTGAGGTGATTTGCGGGCACCAAACTAAGGGTGGGATCCGTGAAACGCGTTTGGTTTCTAGGCTGCTAAAGAAATCATGGTCAAATAGCACCTGTCCATTATGCTTTAGTCTATCCTTGCCGCGTGAGGTTTGCACTTGATCAGTTGACGTCATCACTACTGGGGCGTAATGAGCACGCTCGTAGACACCTGTGCTGCTGCAGTTTCAACGACTAGCTTCAGGAGGTGCTCGCGTTCACAACGAAGGTGAGGCGCATTTTCAACTAGCGGCTCTGCATGGCGACGACGGCCGGTGTAGCTGTTCTTCTCAAAAAATAAAAATAAGTTTCTGATTGGCCCGTGTTTCCGTCTCGCGACCGTCACATGTTTAAGCGCAGGCTGATATGGAATCTCGCGCCTTCGAGATGCTCGAAGCAGAGCGGAAAATCGCCCTGGCAGAGGCAGAAGCTGCAGCACTGGAGGACGCTGCCGCGGCTGCCGGCGGCGGCGGCAAAAAGAAAAAGGGGGAGAGGGGCCGCCCAAAATCGAGAGGCCAGGGAGGGGGCGGGGCTGACAAGGGCAAGGGTGGGGGGAGCAAATCGAAAACGAAGAGCAAATCACCAACAGGAAAGGGAGCGAAGAAGGGGGCTGAGAAAGGTAGCAGCAAGGCCGTCGGAGGAGGGGCAGGCAAGGACAAAAAGCCGGCTGGCAAAAGCAGCAGCAAGGGTGACGGAGGGGCGGGAAAAGAAAACAAGACGGCTGCGGCGGCAAGCAAACCGTCCTCGGCGGACAAGAAACGGTCTTCCAGTCCGGCCAAGAAGGGGGCAGCTGGAAAGGGGAACAAGAAGAAGTAACCCTGGTAGATAGACCAGGAAGTCCGACCAAACTCGTTTGTTACCCACGACGCTTCCAACCGCCATACGGAAGCACCCGTCTTGCTACGGTCTGTGCACGACTACTGCATTTCTCTGTTGGAGCGCCAATCGTAGCGTAAACAGTGCAATACACAGGCTAATGTCGAAGGGACCAAGTCGCCTACCACACTACAGCCATGCCAATCATCCGCGTCGAAGCTCGTGGAGAACATACTCTCAAAAACACACCCCTAGAGACCAGGCGGGCGCCCGCTCCCACCCGGGAGACAAGCATCGCCTGGCGAAACAGTGGTCACCCTAGCTCCACCGGTAGAGGTTTGTTCTACGGAATGTTGCGCTACGCCCACGGGCTCATTTTCTCGAACTCCTCCCGCACCCGGCGCTCCCGGTGAACCCGTCGCTCCGCGTACCAGATGACCCCGTCCGCCGACTCGGCCACGACGAGAAGCACCGGATCCCAACCCTCCACCTCCTGGTCTTGCTGCTGCACTCCCTCCCCCCACCCCGACGGGCCCGTTGCGCCGCCCTCCTCGTCCTGAGCCCACCACCGGAGGGCCTCGTCCGCCGCTGCCACGACCACCGCGGCTTCCGCTGCCGAGCCTGCCGCCGCGAGCCGCACCCCTGCCGGCAGGGCGGCGCAGGAAGCTCGCGTTTAAGTCCAGGTAGTTCGGCGCCCGCCTCGCGCCCCTTCCCCGGCCCCTGCCGCCCGAAGCGACGCCTCCTCTTCCAGAGGACAGCAGCTGCTTACCCCTGCCCGGTCGCTGCTGTCCGCGGACACTGTTTCCAACGGCAGTCCCACGCCCTGCTACGCTCTCTGGTTGATTCAATCCACCATTCCCTCGCCGGCCAGATAGCTGCGGCTCACTGCCAGCAGTGCGTTCTCTTGCCAACGGCTGCTGTCTCGCCCCGATAGGCGCTCCACCGAAAGACGGCGGCGGCGGCGGCGGCGCAGGCCCTACTCCACGGTGGCGGAGTCCCCCCAAACCTCCTGCCGGTGCAATGATATCATCGTCGTCGTCGTCGTCGTCGTCGTCCCCTGTCATTGAGTCGAGTCCGAGCAGAAGCTTCTCGATGTCGTCGTTTTCGGCGGGTGCGAGGTCAAAGGAGCCGACCGGGGAACCCGGCACGGGCAGCGAGAGCGGCGACCCCATCGGCGTGTCGTCGTTACCGGGGGCCGATGCTAGCGCCTGGGGGCTAGACGCGGCCGCAATGCTGCTGCTTCTCGAACTGGCAGCCGCAACCGGGCTCCGCTCCGTCCGGGAAGGTGAAACGCTTGGCCGTGCAACACCCGCACTACCAGCAGCAGCTGGCGAGGAGGAGGGGGTTGCGACACTGGGTGAAGCGCGTGGTGGTGAAGCGCCCGCACCACTAGCAGTAGCTGGCGAGCAGGAGGAGGCGCCCATGGCGACACTGGGTGAAGGGTGTTGTGGTGAAACACTGGCACCATTAGCGGCAGCTGGCGAGGAGGAGGAGCAGGAGGAGGTGCCGGTGGCGACACTGGGTTCGCCCTGTTCGGGCGGCGTGGTTCGCCTCTGAGGGATTGATCTGCGTTTTTTCTTCGCCGGTGCCACGGCCTCCGATGGCTCCACTGGCGGCGGCAGCGGCGGCGGCGGCAGCGTGGGAAGTACCAGCTCCGATCGCGCCGGGGGAAGCCCGAGCACAAGCCTCAGCTCGTCCTCCTCGTCCTGCAAGGTTACCACCTCCCTGCGCAACCTCTTACGAACGGCCAAGAGACCCTCGCTTTCTTGGTGCATTTCCCTGACCTGATATTCGATTCAAGCAGAACAAAGGGCGACGAAAAACGCAGCTGGTTCGAAATCATGGTTGCAACGCTTAGCTTGCGTATTGTCACAGAGCTGATCCAATCATTGCACTCGTTGGCGCCATATCACCATTAATCCTCAGCAGCCGAGAGGGGATCACATCCCAAAAGCTTGACACGCTTGTCGCCCTCGCACGACAGTTCCGAGGCGCAACGCAAAGCGAACCCCGGGAAAAAAAGGTTGCCAGCCGAGCATTACGCCAACCAAGCAGCGGGCGAACCTAACAATATTGTTGAACGACTGATGGCCCGAGAGCAGTAGGCCTCAGCCTTGCCGCTGTTCCAAAACAAGGTCTCGCCAAGACAACGACGGTCTGCTGCGTCGACGTTTTTGACTCCCAACATCCTACCAAGAGTCCCGCAACACCAAAGCCTGCTACGTCTTCACAGAGTAGTAGGTCCAACGAAGCAGGATGTCCTGTTTTCTTTGTCTTGATCATACAATTTTCTGCGACAAGAGTCTCACCAAAGCAAGGTCTTCATCTCTGGTGGTAGTCGGCCCTTCAGTCTCGTCCTTGTTGCCATCGCTCGTTCCGCCTCCGCCGCCACGGGTTGATCGGGGAATACCACGATGTCGCTCATTCCCCGCTGGAGGGTCTGCCAGCTCCCGCGCCTTGCGTCGTGATTGGGACCGCAGTGCGCCGCTGCTGACTGCTGCCCTTTTCTTCTTCCCCACCCCCCCGGCTTTTACAGACCCATCTACCTGCTGCTCGGACTAAAACCATGACATAGAGTACGGTGTGATGCGAAAGGACAGCCAAAGAGCGGCGGAAGAATGTGTCTCATGGATCGGGGAGTCCAGGGGGGGTTAGGGGGTGGGGGCTCAATCGTCATACGGTACCAAAGAATGAATTGTGCAAAGTGGAGAGCCTGAAGCGATGAACAGCTTCCTGGTTCATGTTGCGTATTTCTCACCCTTACAAGACAGCAAAAATCGCACCACACAGCCGCAATGGCAATCCCAAACGGACAATTTGGAGTCAAGGAGCGAGGTCACAGCTTGAGTGTTAGATATGGCCGAAGCGGTCGGAGTACAATATGCGTGTGTAGGAGGGGGGGGGGTCTTCCCCGACAACCTATTTAGTGCATTCGAAAAGAAACCTAGCAGATAGTTGTGAGTCCGATACGCAAGATGACCACCAAACAGTCTTGCTGAACTTGTTGCCCACAGGGAAGCTACTATAACTCAATATTGGGCAAGGTAAGTGGACACACGGGTTAGGCCATCGTCGTTGTTGTCTAAATACCCGTTCCGAAATTTGCTCAGTACCATTGGACATCCGTTCTGGCCCAACTGACGCTGATATCTTCCGTTGTCGCAGGTTAACTACCCCGAAGAGTGTTCGCTGCATGCAGTTCCGACGGAAGCTCCCATTTGGACAGGTGTTCAGTGAGAACGGCGCATGTTATCACTCCAAGGCCAAGAGACTACGCACCTTGTCTTTTATTTTTGCTCCCTGTCTACGACAGTACGGTTGAACGAAACGCTAGAAATCATCGGTGTCAGGTCGGCGTTCTCTCATTGGATAGGAACCAAGTTGCGTAGTTGCCCCCTTTCGTGTCGAGAACGTTGAAGGCCGGCCATCGGTCTCACTTCCATCGATGGACATAGGAACGACCCCAAACGACAAAGCGATGTCTCCCAAGAGCTTACTCACCGAAGCGACGCGCCCCTCTTCTTCCCGTGTGACGTGAGAACCGCCCTCGTTCATCTCGTTGCAGCTACCACCATCAACGCTACCGCCGCCGTTGCCGCCAAAATCTTCGCCGCAGTCTCCTACACTCCCACCATCATCCACGTGCCTACCAATGTCAGCACCAGCACCGTCTTGCGCGTGGTTCGCTGGAGGAGGGTTTGCTTCCGGGGACTGCTGCTGCTGCCGCTGGCCCGCTGACAGTTGTGCCTTCCGCCGCATTTTGCCGCTCTTGCTTCCGGGCTCGGCGCTGCCATCGGCGTTCCTTCCTGCGGGGATGTCCACCTCCTCTCGTGGCTGAGCAATTCGCGCAGACGTGGCGTGGTCGAAAATGTGAGGCCGAAAACCAGAGAGCGAAAACGGCCATGAAACAATGACCCTCTTGCCACGGAAGAAGCAAACCCTGCTGCACGAGGTATGCTAATATGCTCGCCGGTCAAAACAAGCATGCAACGTTTCACTCCCTCATCTATCACAACCCACGCAACACAAAACCCTTCTCTACCTCAGCGCTCCATCTCCATCCGCGGAATATCGACTAATCCAAAATAACAGCTTGCGTAGAAAGAATGAACCCCGCGACATCCCTTCGAGGAACTCAAAAGCGTTTCACAGCGCTGTGCGCAAAAACTCACCTCTGCAGGGAGACGTTGCTGGTCCGGTCTACAGGGGGGAAGACCCCGCAATACACCAGGCCTCGATTTCTCCGTGGGTGTCGAACGAGTGGAGTCCGTTGCAAGCTTGGCGGTGGTGTTGGTATTGGTGCTCCCTCTCTTGGCTTTGATGCCGTTGACACCGCTTGTCCAGCTGCTATCGCCGCTGCTGTCACTGCTGCTGCTCCTGCAGCTGCCGTCGTCGCCTTCTTCTTCGCTGGCAGTCTGCCGAGGGGCTCCTGCTGTTGGCAGTGCAGGTGCCGACGGCGGGGTGGTGTTACTCGGACGGTTCCGCTTACGAATAGGCAATGATCTCTCCGGAATCGCCCCTGTCCGTTGCTGTCGTCTGGCTGCTGCGGCCGCTGGTGTTGTTGCCTCAGATGTCGGTGCTATTTCCGGCCGACCCAAACTCGCAGCCTCCTCAATCCTTGGAGACCTCCTTTGACGAGTTGGCGAAGCGGTTTGCTGCACAATGTCTCCCGCTGTTTGCAAGGATGCTGGAGGTTGGGGCTGTGGCGAGGCCACGACCGTTCCTGCTGCCCCCACAGATGCCGCCACCTGCCTTGGCGTTGGCGTGCCCACTGGAGAAGGCGGCGCAGAATTCGACGGGGTTGCGCGTTGCTGGTCCGGAGTCGTAGCTTCGTCTGCTACTGCAGGTTCCAACGGTGTCTTCCTCGGGCGCCCCCTCTTGCAAGGCAGGTCCGGAGTCGTCGCTTTGTCGGGTGCAGCAGGTTCCAACGGTGTCTTCCGCGGGCGCCCCCTCTTGCGAGGCAGGTCCGGAGTCGTCGCTTCGTCGGGTGCAGCAGGTTCCAACGGTGTCTTCCGCGGGCGCCCCCTCTTGCGAGGCAGGTCCGGAGTCGTAGCTTCGTCGGGTGCAGCAGGTTCCAACGGTGCCTTCCGCGGGCGCCCCCTCTTGCGAGGCAGGTCCAGAGTCGTCGCTTCGTCGGGTGCAGCAGGTTCCAACGGTGTCTTCCGCGGGCGCCCCCTCTTGCGAGGCAGGTCCGGAGTCGTAGCTTCGTCGGGTACAGCAGGTTCCAACGGTGTCTTCCGCGGGCGCCCCCTCTTACGAGGCAGGTCCGGAGTCGTACTTTCGTCGGATGCAGCAGGCTCCAATTGTGTCTTCTTTGGACGGCCCCTCTTGCGCAAGTCCGGATTAGCAGCTTGGTCTGCTGCAGCGGGTGGCAACGGGGTCTTCCTAGGGCGGCCTGTCTTGTCAGGCGGCGGAACTCGCTCCGGGGTCGCTGGTGTATTTATCTCTGGTGGAGCCTCAAGCTCCGCTGACGACGGCTGCGGTGCAGGCTTCGGCCGCTGCCGGCCTCGCTTACGGGGCTGCGAAGATGTTGCCCGCGGTGAAGCCAAAGGCGATGGAAGGGGGGATGCGGTCGACGCTTCCGTTGCGGCTGCTGTTGGTCCTCCTGCCGACGTTTGCGGAGTCGAGGAAGACGGCTGCCCCGAATCCACGGCGTCCGCCTCCCCGTGTGCCACCGCGGGCTCACTTCCTCGCCCCTGCGTTTGCCCTCCTGTCCCCGGAGCTGTTGATTGATGGGGTATCGGTTCTGCCAACTCGGGCAGATTCGCTTCTTCGCCGGCCGGCGCCGGTGTTCGAGGAACAACGGGTGTCCGATCAGAGATTCGACGAGGTGAACAAGATGCCCGGCGTGGGATCATGTCTTGCACACCTCCACGTGCCGCCGGCGCTGAATCCGTGGCCTCTAGCCCTGCCGATGCGATGCTGCCGCGGTGGCTAAGCGCCCGAGCTGGCGACGATTTGCGCCCATGAGCTATTGCTTCTTCCGCGGGTTGTTTATCCCCTGCGGGTGTCGGTGGTGATGGTGGCTGCGGGCAAGGTGGAGCCAACACCACCCCTGATGAAGGCTTCGACGGTGCGCGACCTCGCTTACGGCTAGGGGACGGTAGCGGAGCTAGCGGCGATGCAGGAGGGCTCGCGCTCATCGCTGCTGCTTCTCCGGCCTCTGGTGCTGGCGCAGCTGCAGCAACTGCTCCCGGTGTTGGCCGTGCCGTTGTCTCCGTCTCGGCAGCAGACAGGACCGACCAAGACCCTTCACCGCCACTGCTGTTCGGACGGTCGACATCATCCCCAGAAGTAGGTCGAGGTTGCCGCCTGCTGGGGATGCTGACGTCGTCATCTTGGTCACTGTGGTCGCTGCTGTCCTCGTCGCTTGATTCGCTAGTGCTGCCTCCGCTTGCCGATGGGGAAGGAGGCGGAGGTGGCTGGTATTCAAATCGCCCCGCCATGCGCTCGCCCTCTTGAGGTGTCCGCCTCCTTATTTGCCTCGTCTTTCTCGAGCTCCCAAAGGAATTAACCCTGGCACACAAACCTCAAAGAATGGGTCTACGGCAGGAAACCCTCTCACGGCGCCGGAGAGATTCCCAGAGCAAGAGGGTACAAGACTAGAGAGAGCGAAGAGAGCAGGAGCAGGTGGTGGTGCGCTGCAACCAAATGCGGCACAATAAGCACACCAATCGATTCCGCGGAGCCCCTAGCCATCGCTGCTGTCATCTACTGTGCGTGGGAAAGTCCTCCACCACCACAGCAGGCAAGCAAGCACGCCTCTCGCCCGACACCCTTCATGCGTGGGGTTCTATTTATTGCCATTTTGGCGTTCTATGCCGATGTGGACGGGGCATCAGCAGCCGCGGGAACCGGTAGCACAGGGCTCAGGGCGAGCAGCAGGCAGCGAGGCGGAGATCGAGGCGGCAGCACCGCCGTAGATCGGGCCTTGACGGCAAGGAAGATCGCGGAGCGAAGGAAGCGTCGGGACGATGCAGTGCCCCCCGACCACGGTCGCTCTACCGGCGGGGTGGATTCCCCTACGGTGGTGATCGGGGCCGTGTTGGGGGAGAGAAGGGATGGTACTGAAGGACAGGTAACAACGAGCTGATGCATGTTGCATGTTCTGCGGCGTCCGGTGCTGGGAACCTGGCACCAACCGCCACTTACCAACCGCCGTCTCGAGGACACAGCAGTGGTTGGTGAAGCCTTTCGTGGCCGTTGCATCCGACGTGTGCAAAGCTCGTGACGCTCTGTTTCGTTGCATTTTTTTTAATATATTGTCCTAACGTTGATCATATGTCACCTACATGTGGTCTACACACATTCACAAGAATGCGACGCGTGTCGTGCCCACAGCAGGCATCCTGTGTGGAGGAAAATCTCGACAAAGAGCCAGGCTGTGTGTAGTCAGTTGCTGCAGGTGGTGGATAGGAGTAGGCGTTGTACGATTTACTTCGCTGCCCACGTTGTGCCACTGGCTGAGATTGCAACGTCCATGGAGATGGAATGCCGTGGCAACTGCCCTTGCAAAGCATGCTCTCTCGTGCAATCACCTCCGTTCCTATTTTTCGCGCCACCGGGATCCGTGGTGTGGCGACATCATCTGTTGTCTGTTGTTGTGGCCGTCAGAAACGTACACTTCAGAAACGCAAACTCACCTCCCGGCCAAACAAAAAAACAACTGCCTGCGAGAGAAGCTGGCAGTGTCATCCATGTCGGAAGTAAATACACAGCAGCGTTGCCGATCCGCTCGTCTCGTGCTCAAGCTACACCGTATTCCTGGGTGGTGCGTGCCGCCCTCTCTCTCTCTCTCTCTCTCCTCCGAACGCGGTCTTCTTCGTAAGAGCAGCCGTACGGGGCGGAAGGAGGGCAGTGGGAATCTGACGAAGAAGAAGAGGAGAACGAGGAGGAGTACGACGACGACGACGACGACGACGACTGGGGAGACGAGGATGATGACGGCGGTGGTGGCGGTGGTGCTATTGATAGTCTCGACGACGACGAGTTTGACGACTTGGAAGAGCACGGCGGAGCGGGAGCGTACGACAGCCGCGGACGACGAGACAGCGGGCGCTACAGCAGCGACAGCCGTCGCCGCCCCGCCCCCGGCCGCGGCCCCCAGGGGCCAAAAGCAGGCGCCCTTGCCGGTGGTGGCGCAAGGTCGAGCTCGAACCGCCGCGCGTACTACGATGATGGCTTCGGCGGCGGTAGCGGCGGCGGCGGCGGCGGCAGCAGGAGCAGGAGGGGGGCGGGGGCGTCGTCGCCGTCCAGCATGCAGAAGACGAAGGCGACGGGCGGCGTGATGAAGAGCGTCGGGAAGGCGACGGGCAAGTCGATGAAGGCCATGGTGCACGCTCTGCAGCCCAAGTCCGTCGGCCTCGGGGAGATCCTAGACACGTGGAAGATCGAGCAGGTGCAGGTTCTGAAGGCGCCGTGATCGTGTGTTTTTGCTTTGGACCGCGCTGCCGCGCGATGCGGAGGCACACCGACCCTTTTTCGCGGGACAGACAAGAACATGGTTCCCGAAGCGCGCATGCATTGTGTGTGAGTTTTGTTATCAATACATACCAGCCCCCCGTAGTGCCATTTGTGCCGCGGGGGGGCTAGCGGTTACCGTAGACTTGCCATCTCCCACCGTATTCGTACGCGTGTTTTCATTTTTTTTAGTACGGACAGATGTACTACGCAACACATGTGTTTCCGATGTCACAAAAGTTGAGCATCGCTCTTTACTAATTCGACAGTTCGTGAGCAGCAACGCCTACCACCCACCCACCCTCGATATCCCCGCACGAAAAGCGCAACACGTCTTCACTCTCCCCCCAAAAAACAAAAGGTCGTCGGTAAGCCTCCCGGGCGGGTCACCAAGTGCGCGGCTACGGTCGAGTTTCGGAGGGACGGCACCGTCGCGACGTCCTTCGACGGACGCGAGACCGTCTCCGATTTCACCTTTCGGGCGCACGCCTGGCCGAGGGCGTGCACCATCGAGGTACGTAGGCGCAATGCAGCAGCAACAATGAAGAACGGCAATAAATCACGTGGGGATGGCGTTGCAGCTGCTCGCGAATCGTGGTGGAAGCGGCTGCAGTAAGGCCGTGGTTTCAGGTCTTTCGCTCCCGCGAGAGTCGCTCTTCGTTAATCATGACTGCGGAAGTTTAGAGCGGGCTATGTTTTTTTTTTTTGTGTAATTTGCTGTTGAAAGTCCCGCAGGCGCGCGCTGTATCTTTTCACCATTGCTCTTGCCTCGATTTGTTTCTCCTCGCACAGCGAGTCGTCATTTTAAGCCTAGTGAGTGCTCTCTGTCTGCAGCATCAGCACCACACGCGACGATTGACCACGCTATGATAGCCCGCTGTTTTGGCAACAAACCCCACTCAGTTCAACGGGTTTCATCGTGCCGGACCAGACTACGCTTGCACAGAAATGGCTAGCTCTTCGCCATTTCGCGAAAGAGTGCTACCAATCAAAGCTCGAATTTGCGTAGTTTTCTCATGTCTCGACGTCGGGTCTCATTTTTTTTGTCCTGCTACAGACGCATCTCCCGTCGTTGGATGGCCTTTGCTTTCTGGACCCTAACCACGTTGCTACGCATCCCCTTGTTGCCGTTGCTTGTTCCGGGGTCGGGTTGTTGGTCTTTCGGTTGGTTGGTCGGTGGCGGCGACGGTTGCTTTACCGATAACGCTGCAGTTCGAAGCCAAGGCTTTCCAGGGACCGTGGGATGAGGAGCCGGTCTGGAAGGTGTACAAGGTATGTACAAGTATGCTAGGAAGAAGCAAGAGTTGTGATGCTATTGTTTGTTTTCCTGTGGTCTTCAGACCAAAGAACCTGAGCGTTCGCCATTAATGCAGGAAGGAGCCGGGGAAGAGAGGGGGGGTTCCGCATGCCTCATTCACGCTTGCTTTTTATTACTGCAGGCGTAAACCGTTCACGTCCACGCCGAAATCGGTGGCAAGCGATGTGCGGGACCGACCGCTGTTTGTTACTGGGATCCTCGAGCCTTACCATGCCGTACGCGCCATCTCATTTCTTGATGGATTTTTCATCGTGCTGTCTGTGGGACCTCTTTGTTTGGCCTCCTGGCATGTGTTGGTATCGAGGCGCCTCAAGAGAGCGCATTACAACGCCTGCAGTAGGTAGCAATGGGTCAGTCAGGCGGCGGAGGGCCGCCGAAAAACCCAACCCTCCCCTTTCTCCCACCAGCGACACACACAAGTACCGCCCCCGCCTTCCTTGTCGATGCCTCCGAACCTCTCTCTCTCCCTCCCGCAGGGGTCGTTCTCTCGCAAGCTGTTGGACCCCAAGATCATCATGCTGGAGGGCACCATCTACGACGTGACGGGAAAGATGATGTGGAAGCGGAGGGTCAAGTCCGGCAAGTTCACCGCCCGCAGGCGTCCGTCACGGGTGACCCGCGGGGGCGGGGACAGAGCCGACCCTGGCAGAAAGAAGAGCGCCAGGAGGGCCTACGAAGAAGAGGAGCAGGAGGAGGGGTGGGGAGTCTCGGGAGACGGAGGGGCAAGAGCGGGCAGCGGCAGGCGCAGCAGTGGAAGTGGTGGTGGTGGTGGTGGTGGTGGTAGTGGTGGCAAAAGGCGGAAAAGTGGCACACGTGCTCGGAGTAGCAGCAGCAGCGGAAGCGGAAAAAAAAGTCGGTCCAGGTCTAACAGAGACGAGTTCTAGGTGTTGGGTGCCGCTAGATGTAGGTGCGCGCGCGAGCGGGGGGGGGCGTACTCTTATGGTTTGCATGCCTTAGCGGTTAGACAATTGACCACGTGTCCTCGAGAGGACGGAGCGTCGTTCCCACAGGACCGATCTCCGATGGCCAATCGTTCCTTCCTACTTTGCCAAAGGTGGCTCAAAAATGCTCGCCCTAGTCTATCTATCCTATCGATATCACTTTGCGAGCGGGCAGGGAACGACAAGGGCCCAAAGTGCAGCAGAAACTCAGACGGTGTCTAGGCCGGTCGTCGCCCGGCTCTCAGTGAAAAAAAAAACGGACGGCGGTGAAGGGGTCTCGGTCGATGCATGACCCCAGCACGTCGACGACGTTCGGCAACACCACCGTTTGACGTGCAGACCGTTTCAGGCAGAAGAGCTGTCATCGGCTCTCGAAGGGGGGGTCGTTTTGGGTGTCTGGTAGATGATTTTCGGGCGTCCAAACTGCCCAGCGCCAGTAGCGCGCGTGCGTGAGGTATACACGCCCTTGGAGAGCGCACGCAGCCTGTCTTTTGGGTAAACCTCGCCGCCAAGTCCCTGGCTTTTTTCGGTGCCGCGTCCTATCTGCTGTGCCCCCCCCCTTTGTTGTTGCCTTGGTTTTGTGTGCGGCAGATGCACAGGTGGTAGTGGTGGTGGAGATGGTTGCCCTCTGCCCTCGCGAAGGTGCCCGAAGAAAATCAGAGTTTGTTGCATGCATACGTGAGAACCCTTCTTCCCTCTCTTAACACCATGCTCCACAGCAGCGTTACTTCCCGTTCCTCCCAGCCTTTTCCCCGCTACAACAGCAGTACTAGGTTTAAGCCAATCGACCAGTCGATCGCCATCCAAAACCAGCAGGGTACCCTACTTTTGGCCTTTTGGTTTGGCCGAATTTATTTTGGGGGGGGAGGCGGGGGCCAGCATTCCCCATCTAAGCGAGGTTCCAAGATGGAAGCTGTCTCTCAACCTACGGTTTCGTTTGGTGAATAAAATAGCGCACACTTCCACGCAAAAAAAAAAAACGCACTCTCGAGAGTCTCACGTCAACACACTTCAAATAATTACGTCTGGAACACTAATAGTAAATGTTTACCCTCCCGGCAACGAAGAAAGCCCCAACCACTAACTACTACACACGAAATATATGTCGACTGCAACGACAATCGCTCTGGTTCTAATCCTTAACTTAAAAGTTTCCCACACATTAGAAAAGACTTGGACCTTCCCTGGTAACGTTGAGAGCTGCTCTGGAGACTGGAAGGTTTCTTCTGGGAGACCGTGTGTGCGCTTCATGTACAGCGGTAGCCCGGCCGAGCGAAGAACACACGAACAAGTCACAAAACATCAGGCAGGCAAGAAAGTGGTGGGAAACAGGCAGGCTTCCATGACAGATATTTTCCCCGATAACCACACTATGGCTCCAGACGACAACAATGTAATTAACAAAATAAAAAATAAAAAAAGAAGGCAGGCAGGGAGTAACGAACGCGGCGCGACTCCTCGACGTTAAACCTGTAAAGCTCACCAAGGCAAACACAACACTTTCTAGTCACCCGGTACGAACTAAGGAATCCATCCAAAATCATAGCCTTTTTCAAGACTACAAATCCAATGACGCTCTTGCATCCACGGCATCAGCGTCTGCGACATCGACCCCCTACTCCGGGAAACCGGTATTTTCCATTTAACTCAGGGTTGCTTACCGCTGAGACATGGTAATACCGTAACGGAGCTCCAAAACATACCACACACGTGCTCGCCACTTCAAGTCAAACTCGAGACGGATAACACGCCCCTTATTGAACCCGGTTCTACGTTCAAGCAAATCTAGATAAACCCTCACAGTCGCAACGGAAACTGAAACCCCTGCATAGCAGCAGGGGCTGCAGTCGTAAAGGAAACATCAACGCACCGCATGACGCAGAGAAAACTACGCTGTCTGCTACGCGACATGCCACGCAAGTCTCACCCAAAGAGTGCCAAAGGAAGAAAAATCAGGGAAATAAAGCACGGATCATCCAGTCACAAAACAAACACAAAAATACGGTCGGCGGTCGTGAAAAGCTTACAACCAGGCGCTTGCAACGCCGCGTCCAACTCGCGTTGTTGTTGATTGAGCACAAACAACAACATCTAGCTTGGGTGGGTTGTTTGGTGTTATATCACCTTGGTCCAGAACCAACCACGAGAATAACGCACCGAGACAGAGCCTTCCATGACGGACGAAATAAATAGCGCAACACGCATCCACAAACCAGCAGTCCTCCCTCTCCTCCAGCCCGTGCCAAGCACGCCTTTTCATCGGCTGGCCCCTCGTGTTCCACAACCAAGCACGCCCGAATGGTCACCATCCTCAAGACCAACATCATCCTTGCCGGCCACATCCAGCCCAGCACTACTTCAAATCGCCACTTTAGTGCCACCCCGAGAGGGGGACGGTTTTACAGGCAAAAGCGGGGCAGGGCAAGCCCCCCCCCCCCAGCAATACCTCATTTCAACATCTTGTTTCAACATCTTGAGGCAAGAACGTGCCGTAGCGGTTGAAGCTCGGCCAATGGTCGAGGAGAGAAGGCGGTTCCTGTTCTCCCTAATACAACGAGGACCACGAGAAACAAAGACAGTGGCACGCCGCAAAACACAAACAAATGAACGACACGTAACTCCCTTACAACAGTACCCCCCCCCCCCCCCCCCGGTACTAGCATACTGTGTGGCGGCATGAAAATATACCATTGGGATGGCCAGACTAAGTCTCGAATGCTACTTGGTATACACGGTACCCACATCTGCGGTGAAAATCTTACAGCGATCCGCAAATCGACCCCCCTCTCGACCTCTCTCTTTCTTTCCCCTCGTCCTTTTGAGGCGAGCCAACCGCGAAACGATCAACCACAGCACTGCGGCGACACCAACAGCATCAGCATCAGCATCAGCCAAGAACATTTGCCCTAACACAAAAAATACAAACACAAAAAAACTCTCGACTCGGTAACTGGGTTTGAAACTCCCTCCAACACCCAGGTCTACTACGACGCACAGATGCTCACAAAAAATAACAAAGAGGAAAAATGTACTTCACCACTATCAACCGGACACACCCCATGTGACAAAACTTCCCTCTGTACAAATAATATGGCGATAGACAATGGTAGTAGGAAGGGGTTAGTACACCACGTTTCTGGCGAGACCGGCAAGATACAAGGGGCGCAAACAAAAACAAGGAGCCGCAATGCCGACGACACCGGTCGCCTCTAGGGGGAACACGAGGCACACATCCAGAAAGAGCCCAACGGTCCCTCACGGCATTGTTAGAAAGTAAACACAATCTCACAGCAAGACTTAGCTACCCGTTCGAGATATAACCAAAGCAGTCGAAAGGGATGTGCTCAAGTCTTCTCAATGAGTGGAGGGAAACCGGCTGGAAACTGGGCATACTTTGAGTTTGTTTTTTAAGCCCATACACTGAATGTATCAGTGATGCCATCCTCCCGTGGCCAATACATGGGCGGCCCCGTGACGCATTCCCGCACGACCCACCTCCAAAAACCTCAACTCTCACACGACCGAACAGCTAAATGTGGTAGTAGCTACATAAACTTGTTCTTTACGAGGATTAGGGTTCTCGCCGGTATCCCCGGCCCCTCCCTCCTACCGCTCTCTCCCCCCCGCAGTAATCATGCCTATTCTCACCCGTCCCTCCTACCGCTCTCTCTCCCCCCCGCAGTAATCATGACTATTCTCCCACGGTGGTAGCACCGGTTTCCACCGACTGCCCTGCCGAAACACTATTACCAAGCCCAAGGAAGCCAGCCCGCAATCGACAGTTCTTGCGTCCCATACATGACAAACCGGGCTGCGTCCTACGTTGTTCGTCGCGTGCCGTGCTCCGCACGCTCGCCTCACGAAACCATGTGTTGGGGGGCAGATTTAAGCTCTATTCAAACCTGCGCGACACGGTCGAGCCTTATCTTACCTTCGGACCGACCGCTCAACCCCTGACTTATCGCCGCTTCCCTCTAGCTCCTTATCCGCTTCTACAGTTCACCGGCCGATGATCGCGCCGCCGCAAAAACTCAAGGAAGATGCTGTGACGACCGGAGGATCTGCAACGAAGGAAACGATCAAGGGCAAGAGCGATCAATCACACACGCGTTGTCAAGTTAATAGCCAGTGGGTCGGTGTTGCACTCCCCGCTTCGCACTGCTGAGGAGCAAAATCAGGTCCGTGCGTCGCAATCAACAGAGGAGGGGGCTATGACGTCATGGCGTCTCTCTCCAAAGCCGAACCCTGCGGCGCGCGAGTATGAACATGACAAGCAAAAAGCTTACCACAGCGAGGCGCGCACTGCCGTATCGTGGTGAAAAGAACACGCGTTCGGTCGACTACTTCCTCTTCCATCGCTTTTCATCACCGCACGGCCATTACGGAAAGTACGCCGGCTTGGTTGGGGAGAGGGGGTGACGGGACGGGGGGGTGACGGGATCACTGAAACTTAACCCCACAACTTCAGAGAAGAATCCATCCTGATAGCTGAAAAGTTTCGCCACGGTTGATACCTCTGCCCCTGACCGTCAGACAAGCTAATAATAGCAAAAAGAGTGTACAAATTATAGCCTTTCACCTCGCGCGAGCGAAATAATCATTCGCCGCTCCGCACGTCCGTCCTCGTTCTACATCTTACCTACAGCCCGCCCATCATCCTCATCTCCGCGCGACTCGAGGGACCCATCCAACCGCTGGACACGCCCACGCTGCTCGACCTAGGTTCCAGCCCGCCCATCCCGACGTCACCCATCGATGGGAAGCCCCCGCCGCCACCGCCCCCGCCGCGGCCGCCCCCCCCCCCGCCGTGCATGTGAAAC